CATGCATTTGCAGTTCAGGTCTGCTTTGGGATGAGGTAGACCTGGGCATAATAACAAGGGTATGGGTTGGCAGGAGAGGGAGAGCCGGTACAAGGAAGTGTTTAAGATACAAGTAGAGGATCTTTTTCAACCTGTGCTCTTATTTACTTCTTTCCTGGCAGGGAGGAGGAGAAGTTGCCTGGACTAAGTGTACAGGCAAGAAGGGCAGGGTCTGGGGTAAACAGGAGCTCTGGACCAGCTGCTGCAAGACAGCTTGGAGTCAGGGAGCAGGGAAGCTGGATCCTCGCTGGGATTAGGAACCACTGGGCAGAGTGAAAGACGTGGTGGGAGCGAGAGGGTGTATCTGAAGAACAAGCAGGACCAGGAGAACAGTAAGGGTAGTTGGACAAAGAGTTAATATTGGGGAAGATGCTTGAGACTGGGTTACGGATTTGGTCATAGAAATGGAGATGCCTGCTTATTCTGTAGCCTAAGACTGTATTTTGTAGCCTAGCACTAAAACTGAAGTTCAGGAGTGTGGGGAGAGACTGATAAGGATCTATTAGCTCAACCACGGCAGAATATACAGAGTTTGGAAGAAGCAGGTAGAGGAGACTATGGTCACAGCAGTGCTATTTGGTGCTTGGAAACAAGCCCAGCCAGATCATTACTGCTGCCAGTTCTTCAGTTCGGGTGGCAAATATGTGATACTTATGCTTCAGCCCAGGTTTCAGTAAGTTTCCACATAATTTGTTTTTTGCTGGCTATTTTAGAAATACCTAAGATATATGTAGACATATGTCTAGGGGAAAATACAAGGAGAATTTCAGAGCTTCCAAGTCAAGCTCTCAGAAAATAGGAAAAAGCAGGTTGTCTGTTGAGACTGCTTTCTCTCCCCAGGTGTGGTATGTTCATGTGACTATGTGTGGTAAATAAGATGCAAGATAAAAACCATCTTGTGTGAAAACTGCCCTGATGAACTGGTTTCTCCTTTGCCTCTGTTGCAATGACCTTGTACATTATGCAGTGATAAACCAATAACTGAATAGCTAAATATCAGTTGGTTTGCTAGGTGCTCCCCTCAAGGGCCGTGCAGCTTGCAGAAGTATTTTGTGTTCCGCGAGGTGACCAATGGCTGCAAGAGCAATGCTTTGAGAAATACCCTTTATCACGAAGGTTTCCAAGATCCAGGGGATGCATTTAACTGTAGTTTTGAAAGTATCTCTGGCAGCTCCTACATGTGGCGATGGTAGAGGTGTGTTTCAGGAGCAAAGGGTCAGGATCCTCAAGGTTTGTGTTCGGTTGCTCTTTTGGCAGGCAGCCAGTGCTGTCCTGCTCAACACAAGGGAAGGGCAATGCAGCTGAACAGCCTTGTTCAGCTAAACCTGAATGGATTTTGATGGGACAAATGTAACTTTCTCCACCCTAAATAGCTCCCTCTTCCTCCAGCTGCTGCTGTTTGCAGGTGGCCTGTGAAATTCAAAGGCATTAGTCTCTCCTGAGGTGGCAAGAATATTTTGTGTTGGTAACTGTTCACTTACAGAAGTGTAGCAGCTCCTCCTACAAACACTATGGATGTTATGAGGACTGTCATGCTTTGAGTGTAGTATGATGTCTTTCCAGTAAATGAAATATCCACAGGAGACTGGCTGACTAGGAGCACTGGCAATGGGATATAGACCCTGTGATCTCTAGGAGTGATAAAGTGTTTACGGTTGATGGCTTTGTAATGGCATAAAATAAGTAAGTAGTCACAGTCTTGCTTCCAAATGAGAGGTCTTAGTATGTCATATATTCCCATTTAAGTGTTTTCAAGAAGGCTATAGATTTAATAATGGCTGTGATCCTCAGTGCTTCTGTTGTTTGGGCCTTGCCAGTGCCAATTGTACCCTGCTGGATGTTATGAGGACTGGTGTGAAACAGCTTTGTCCTGTGCTACGTCAGTAGCAACTACACTTCAGTTTCCAGGGCAAATACTGGGTTTTGCTGTGTGAGAATATTCTTTTGCCAAAATGCTAATATTTTTGCATACAGATAGGATGGGGTGAGACTGTGCATGCTGTTGGTGAGGGCAGATGAGTAGATTAATGAAATGCCACTGCAATTTAGTGGTTTGGTCCTTTGCTGATGACCGTATCTCAGCCTAGCAGGGAGTGTTTGGTCTGAAATTTGTTCTGAAAAGCTTGTTTTTTGCCAATGGCAAGTTTTAAGCTCTAAGGTGAGCACCAGAGGTAGACAGAACAGATGCCATCATGAATTTCAGAATCTATATGAAGAGGAAAACAAGGATGTTCTTAAATTATTTTCATTACTTGATTTGCTTATTATAAAGAAATATTTGAATATAATGATTTATGTGAGGCTGACAACATATTTTGCCAAGTTTTTGATATAAAAGAAAAAAATGATAACGGTGTGAATCACTCAAGTGTAGCTTCTGCAAAGTTCTGCTTTTGGATTAACATCTGCTTTCTGCAATATGTAAAGGCTCACTTTACATTTAAAAAAACTTACTGGAGAAAAGATAATTTTGCACTCTTTCTCACAATGCTTCAGATGCTAAGTTGTGAATAGACAGAAGTGTTAGTCTCCTGTTACTACTTGATGAAAGAAGATTTCTTTAATTTTCTGGATGCCATAAATTTTCTTCACTCCCCTGCCTTTAAGTAAAGCAGCTTCACTTCTGTAGCTTACGTTGTACTAAATTGATGGTGAAGAATAGCGGTTTAAGATGATAAATGTCAGGAATGTCTTCTAAAGTAGACATTCAGATTTTTTTGGATTAATGGGAAAGAAGGTCAATAATTGCATGGATTTCAATAAGCTTGAGAAGAAATGGCATTCCTAAAATGTGGTGCTAGTGATTATTAAAATATCGTGAATTCATTTCAGGATACTGTACTTGAGTTTAATATCTCTTCCATTGTGAAAGAATGACTCAGTAAGGGCTGCCAATTTGTACAGATTATTAGGACATAATTCATAAAGCAATTGTATTTTTAAGAGGGAAAAAAAGTTATAGCAGGCAATAGATAAATTCCTGGATGATAGTCTTAATCTTAGTTCTGCCTTATTAAATAGGGCCCTCCAGACTTTCAGCAGCATACGCCTGGACCAGTTCCTACCAACTTCTCCCAAGCCCCAAGGCTGCCAATCCAGGACCAGTGGAGAGGGCCACCACCACCGCCACCCCCACTCCCTCCTCCGCCTCCTCAGGAAAGAGATCCTTTCTTCATAGCAGGTAAGCATTCATTTCCATTAACGTACAAAGTCCACTTTTTGTAAAGTGGCTATGCAGTGTACGTGTGTATCATATAATAATGTGAAGTGTTTGGGAAAGCCTGAAGACCAGAAGATCCTATTTGATGTACCCAGACTAGTATGTGCCAGAAATTCCAGTGGTCTGGTATCTTTTTCATTCCCTGATGTAATCTTGTATCTCCATCTGTAACTACCATCAACTAGTAACTCTTTAAACCATCTGGACTGTATGTTTACTATTAAGAAATCTGTTAAGGTTAGCTGAAATGATATAGCATAGCAAACAAAATAGGTAGTAAGTGTGTGTGTGTGTATATATAGGTATATGTATATACCATATATACATGATTGTGTATATACCATATATACATGATTGTGTATATTAAATGTATGTTATAGACATTTTACACACAAAAAACACATAAAAATTTGCTAAATATCTAGTCAGCAAACAGTATCAATGTTTTATGAGTTCTTTTGTGATTTAAACTCTAATCCCTGGAATCCTCCATTGATGTTATTAGAGTAGAATTTCTAATAGGTATTCCTAATTCCAGCGAATTAGGTTGTGCTGGTCTTTTGAGTATCAATTCCTTTTATACGGAGATGGCAGAAGCAGGAGAAATGTAACCTTGAGGGGAGCTCTTAAAACATCTCATACAATTTTGCTTTCCACAAATTTCAGGTTACTTTTCTAAATCAGACCTTTGTGTTTTGAAATCGAGTGTTTGTGGTCCAGGAAGGCTGTCATTTAATTATTTACCTGATTCCCACAGATCCGAGGTTTCCAAGCCATCCCTTGTTTGAGCAGCGGAGCCCCCCACCGCCACCACCTCCCCCGCTTCTTAATAGTGCGCACCCCGTCCCTACCCAAAATCCGATGCCATTCACCCAGCCCGGGCCAGCGTTTAATCAGCAGGGACAGCAACCCGTGTTTCCCAGAGAGCGGCCGGTACGGCCCAACATGCAGCCTCAAGGTCCTGTGGGGATTCTCCACTTCAACCAGCCGGGTTCGGCAAATCCGCGGCCCTTCATCCCTCCCAGGCAGCAGTTCCTGCAGGCTCCGGGACAGCCCTTCCTCGCCGCGCACACGCAGCCCAGCATGCAGGTACGGCTCTGCAGCGGGAAGGGGCCTACAAGGAACGGCTGGAGCAGCCCAGGGCTGCCTTGCAGGCTTACAGGACTAACATAACTCAAGCGGAGTTACGTGAGATACAAGTACTAGGCAGATTGACCTGGGACACTTAGTATTGCTGTGGCTGAAGTGATTAACTCTCCCCGCTTGCCAGCGCTAACGTA